TCCCCTGTTCCCTCTCCCTTCCCCCATGCACCATTTTTGGGGTGAAACTGGGCAAAATCAGTCCAGCCCATGGGGAAGAATTAGGCACCTCTAATAGTGGCACCAAGGAGCGGGGTTTAGGGGGGTTCAGGGTAGTTTTGTGGTGTTTTGGTGAATTTGGTTTGGGGTGGTTTAGGGCAGTTTTGGGGTTGTTTCCAGGTGTTTCAGGCTATGTTTTGGGGGATTTCAGGGCATCACAGCTGGTTTTTCGGGTGTTCTGGGGGATATTTCAGAGCAGCATTTTTTGATGTTTCAGGGCAGTTTTGAGGTGTTTCAGGGGGACATTTTGGGCTTCTCTGACTGCATTTTGGGGCATTTCAGCATGTTCCAGGGCAACATTTTGGGGTTTGGGGCAATTGGGAGATTGTCTAGCGCATCGCAGCGGTGGTTTGGGGTGTTTCTTTGGGGTATCGGGACAGCTTTTTGAGGCATTTTAGGAGGGCAGTGCTTCAGGAGAGCATTTTGCGGTCTTCCTCAGTGTCATTTTGGGGCAGTATTTTGGAGCATTTGAGAGCTTTTTGGGATTGGTGTTTTGGGGCAGCATTTTGGGCCATTTTGGAGCGTTTTGGGCAGTGTTTCCGGATGTCATTTTAGGGTATTTCTGGGTGTTCAAAGGTAACATTTTGGGATGTTTTGAAGCATTTCAGGGGGGTTTTGGGGGTAGTGGTTTAGAGCATTTCAGGGTGGAGTTTTGGAGCATTGTGGCTTTTGGGGGAATTTTAGGATGTTTCAGGATGGCATTTTGGGCATTTCAGTGCATTTTGGAGCTTTGGGACCTTTAGGGGCATTTTTGGGTGATCCAGGGCACCATTTTCAAGTGTTTTGGGGCCTTTCAGAGTGTCTTGGGGCTTTGGGGCAGTGTTTTAGGATGGCATTTTGGGGTGTTTATGGGGCTTTGGGAGCATTTGGGGATGTTTTGGGAGATTTCAGGCCATGGTGATGTTTTGGGGTGGCGTTTTGGGGCATTTCAGGGTGGTCTTTTGGGGCATCCAGAGACATTTTGGGACATTGCAGTGGCCTTTTGGGGAGTGTTTTGATGGCAGTGTTTCAAAATGACTTTTTGGGGCATCTCAAGTGCTGGGGCAGCATTCTGGGGTACCATGGATGGGGTGTTTCAGGGCAGTATTTCATGATGATATTTTGAGGAGCTTTGGGGTCTTCTAGGGCAGCATTTGAGGTCTTCTATAAAATTATTTGGGGTGGGTTTGGATGTTTCAGGCCTCTCGGTGTTTTGAGATTTGAGGACATTTCAGGGTGTTTCTGGGGCTGCTTTTTGGGGTGTTTTGAGGCACTTGTGCATGCCGTTTTTGGACAGCTTTCTGGGACACAACATTTTGGGATCAGCACTCATCACCCACCTCCCTGCAGGGTCTGGGATGCTCTCACCGATGGCTTCACCCCCCGGGGCTCCCTCCGGCCCTGGCTGCTCCCTGGGGCTGAGGCCCCCGATGGCACCGACCCCCAGGTATGTCTGTGGCTCCCCCCTGGCTCCCCAGACCCTCTCTGTCCCCACATGACCCCTTGGTGATGCTTTGACAGCTGTCAATCAGTCCCGAGGCTCCGTGACCCATCAGAGCACTGCAGGCTACTCAACTACCACACCAACACAGTGGGCGTCCACATTTTAGGGTGAAATCTCACTGAAACGGGCAAGATTAAGTGTTTGGCTTGGCAGTCTGGTCTTTGCCAGTTTGCCTTCAAGCCAGGCATGAGGTGGTGTATTTTGGGGGGCAGAAAACAGTGTTTTCTTAATTGTAGTGAGTCCAAGCTGTGAATAGCTGTGTTTGCGGTTATGGGAGGACTGCAAAGATACCCCAAAATCCACTGAATTTAAGCCGTTTGGATGTTACACAACCTGTTGCTAAAGGGGGAAGAGAAAGCAAATTTCTTGGGTTATTTTCTGCTAGAAAGGTGAAATAGGTTGTGAAAGGCGGTAAAAAAGATGCGTCCCTATCCAACATCTCCATCCATCATCTCCTCTCCATCCATCCAGTGTTCCCCTCTGACATGTTTCCATCTGACCTCTTCCCAATTCAGCATCAACATCCATCATCACCTCTGTTCAGCATCTGCAGTACCTCCCCATCCAGTGTCACCGCCTGATACATTAATTCACACATCTCTGTCTGTACTTCTCCCTGTCCAGCTTCCCAGTCCAGTGTCTCCATCCAGCAGCTCTTCATCCAGCAGCTTTCCGTCCACTGTCTCCCCATCCAACATCTCTTGTCTCCTCGCAACACCTCCCTATCCATTATCTCCCTCTTCAACGTCTCCAGCATCCTGTGCAAAGTCCCTCTCCAAAGCTCCATCCAACATACCCATCCAACATTTCCCCATCCAACATCTCCATCCATCTCCATCCACTCGCCCTGTCCCAACGTCCTTCCAGCGAGTGTTCCTATCCAATGTCTCCATCCAACGTCTTCACCCAGTGCCCTCTTCCAGTGTCTCCCTGTCCACCGTCCCCATCCATGTCTCCCTCCAGTGTCTCCCCATGCAGCGTGTCCCCTGAGCTGTGGTTGCCCGGTGGCTCTCCCAGGGCCAGGGCCATGGCTGGGGCTGTGCTGGGGCCGTGCCTGTGCCGGCCCGTGCCTGCGGTGCCACCAAGGCCACCCAGCCTGTGTCTCCTGCAGCTCTGCGAGAAGGAGGAGGAGGAGCTCACTGAGAGGAGTGAGCAAGACTCGGGCATCAATGAGGAGCCACTGCTGACAGCTGAGCAGGTACCCCTGGCCCCCACAGGCACCCAAACACCATCATGTTCCCCAAAAGCCAGGCTTTAGCCCCCCTACCATGGCCTCAGCCCACCCCAGCCCCATGGCCATGTGCTAAAAGCTCAAAAAAAAGGCCAAACCCCATCACCTTGGGGTGCAGGATACGGGGCACAGGATGCAGATTTGGATGTAGATGGAGGTGCAGGTTGTAGGCGCCGATGTGGGATTTGGCTGCAGATAGGAATGTGGGGTGCAGGTGCTGGTTGCAAATGGGTGGCATAGGATGAGGGAGGAAAAGATGGGGGCAGAGGCAGGATGCAGACGTGGGGAAGGGGGATGTGGATGGAAATGCAGGGGTGGGATGCTGGATGGAGGGTGCAGATGGAAGTCCGGGATCCAAGGTGCAGGTGGAGGATACAGGGTGAAGGGAACAGGATGCAGATGGAGGATGAAGGGAGCAGGTTGCAGATGTGGGTGCGGGGCACAGATGCGGTGTGCAGATGCAGGGATGCAGCTGTGGGCTGCAGGGTGTAGACGTAAGGTGGGAGTAGGATGCAGGTGCAAATGGAAGATGCCAATGCCCTGCAGGTCATCGAGGAGCTGGAGGAGCTGATGCAGAGTTCACCCGACCCCGAGGCCGACCCCGAGGGTGATGAAGATGAGGAGGAGGAGGAGGAGGAGGAGGAAGAGGAAGAGGAGGAGGAGGAAACAGATGCAGATGGTGAAGGCAAAGGTGGTGGTGGAGGCACGGAGCCCATCCTTCTGCATGAGCTGCGTGCTTTCTCCCCTGCCTTCAACAACAACTGCTCCCATGAAGGTATGGCCAGCAAAATCCAGGCCAGTCACTTTTGGGGGGCAATTCCAACCAAATGGGACAACGGGGTCTCTTCGGGCCCTGGGGCTGGCTTGCTCCTGTTTGCACAGTTTGGCCAGCTGGGGGCTCTTGGCAAAAAATTAATCCCACAAGAATCTTGCTTTTAGCATTGCTTTAAACACACCCAGGATCTTGCCAAGAGCGCTGTGCATTTTGCAAAATGACTTGTCCACTGCACGTTGCACTAAATGCGTTTTACTAAATGTGTTGTACCTTTCCCAGAAGTGCTCAGTGTTTTGCAAAATGCACTGTGCCTTGCACTGATGGTGCCATGCACCCTCCTTTTTCCATGTGCACCGAGCTATTTGCTACACTTGCCCAGCACTTTGCAGAAATGCCCAGTGTGCTCTGCATCTTTGCTGTTTGTGTCCTGCATTTCAGGAAATGCACTTTCTTCACTGTACCATGCATGTGACTGAATGTGCTGAGAACTTCACTGAGCCACGCACAGTGCATGTTCCTAATTGCACTGTGCATTTTACAAAGTGTTTCACTCCCCCCAAAGGCACTGAGTGCCACTATATGAATTGCACCATGCATTTTCCTAAATCCATGGAAAATATAGCGGTGCTTTTCTGTAATTGCACTATGCATTTCCCCAAGAGCACCATGCAAGTGGCTAAGTGCACCATGCAGCATGCAGTGCATTTCTTTACATGCACTGTGCGTGCCACTAAATGCGCCATACACTAGCCTTTTTGCTAATGGCATGGTGCATGTCACTATTTGTCCCAGGGAATTTGGCAGTTCCTCTGGGCATGTCATTTATGGTGCTGGACATTTCAGTAATTGCACAATGTATTTATTTACCGGTGGTCCAGTAAATGCACCCTGCATCTCATTAATCATGTGATGCATTTTAACAGTTTCACTGGGAATTTCACTATGTGTAGTGTGTTTTCACTTGCACTGTGCACACCACTAACTGCACAGGTGTATCATTAATTCCTCTGGATGTGCCAGTAATTGTATTGTGCATAGCAGTCATTGCACTAGGCATGTTACTAATTGCCAGTGTTTCACTCATACTATGCATTTCACTGATTGATCTAGGCATGTCACCAATTATATGAGGGATTTTACTAATTGCACCAGGAATGACAGTAACTGCACACAGTCTGTCACAAACTGCACTGTGCATTTTTCTGATTGCACTCAGCATTCCCTTAGTTGCACTTAGCTGCACTGGGCATTTCACCAGTTGCACTGGACAGTGTGCTAATTGTTCCCTGTGGCTTAATAATTGCAGTGTTCATCTCACTAATAATGTAATGTGCTTTTGCAAACGCTGTTTGCATTTCCCTAATTGTACTGTGCATGTTCACGGGCTGCATGGGATATGTCTGTAATTGCACTGGGCATTTAATTTCTTGCACTGTACACTTCACTAATTGCACCAGGCTTCCCACTAATGGCTCTAGCACCTTAATAATTGTGCTGTGTGTCTCTCTAGTTGCACAAGGCATTTTGCAGACTTCAGTGTGCATTACCCTAGCTGCACTGGGCATCCCACTAATTGCACTAGGCATTTCCCTAGTTGCCATGTGCCTTGCACTTACTGCACTGGGGAGCCCACTGATCACCTGCGCATCTTAATAATTGCAGCCTGCATCACACTAATTGCACAAAGCATTTTGCAGACTTTAGTGTGCATTTTCCTAACTACACCACATCACATCAATGGTTGCACCAGGCTGTTGAGTAACTGCTCCCAGCATGTCATTGGTTGCACCAGGCATTTAATTCACTGAACTGTGTGGTGCACTGACTGGACCTGGCAGCCCACCAATTGCACCAAGCATCCCAGTAATTGCCCAGTGAACCTTAAAAACTGCAGTGTGCATCTCACTAATTGCACTAAGCCTTTTGCAAACTTCAGCATGCATTTCCCTAATTGCACCGAAATTTTGCCGGATGCTTCAGCCATGTCACTAGTTGCACTGTGTATTTCACTGGTTGCACCGGACATTTCATTTATTGCACTGTGCATTGCACTTATTAGATAGGGCACTTCGTTTATTGCAGCATGCATTCTGTTTACTGCATCAGACGTTTCATTTATTGCACTAAGCATTGCACTCATTGCACTGGGCCTTTCATATATTGCACTGTGCATTGCACTTATGGCACCAGGTGTTTCATTTATTGCACTGTGCACTGCACTTACTGCACAAGGAGTTTAATTTATTCCGTTCTGCATTGCCCTTATCGCACTGGGCATTTCATTTAATGCACTGTGCATTGCCCTTCCTGACCCAGACATTTAATTTACTGCACTGAGCATTGCACTTACTTCACTGGGCGTTTCATTTATTGCACTGTGTGTTTCACTGATTGCACCGGACATTTCGTATTTTGCACTGGGCACTGCACTTATTGCACCGGGTGTTTCATTTATTGCACTGGGCACTGGCACTCGTTGCTCTGGGCATTTCGTTTATTGCAGTGTGTATTTTGCTAGTTGCACCAGACGTTTCATGTATTGCACTGTGCACTACACTTACTGCACAAGGAGTTTAATTTATTCCGTTCTGCATTGCCCTTATTGCACTGGGCTTATTGCACTGGGCATTTCATTTATTGCACTCTGCATTGTCCTTCCTGACCCAGACATTTAATTTACTGCACTGAGCATTGCACTTACTTCACTGGGCGTTTCATTTATTGCACTGTGTATTTCACTGATTGCACCAGACATTTCATTTATTGCACTGTGTGTTTCAGTGATTGCACCAGGCATTTTGTATTTTGCACTGTGCATTGCACTTATTGCACCGGGTGTTTCATTTATTGCACTGGGCACTGGCACTCGTTGCTCTGGGCATTTCGTTTATTGCAGTGTGTATTTTGCTAGTTGCACCAGACGTTTCATGTATTGCACTGTGCACTGCACTCGTTGCTCTGGGCATTTCATTTATTGCAGTGTGTATTTTGCTAGTTGCACCAGATGTTTCATGTATTGCACTGTGCACTGCACTTACTGCACAAGGAGTTTAATTTATTCCGTTCTGCATTGCCCTTATTGCACTGGGCTTATTGCACTGGGCATTTCAATTATTGCACTCTGCATTGTCCTTCCTGACCCAGACATTTAATTTACTGCACTGAGCATTGCACTTACTTCACTGGGCGTTTCATTTATTGCACTGTGTATTTCACTGATTGCACCAGACATTTCATTTATTGCACTGTGTGTTTCAGTGATTGCACCAGACATTTCGTATATTGCACTGTGCATTGCACTTATGGCACCAGGCATTTCATATTTTGCACTGGGCACTGCACTTATTGCACCGGGTGTTTCATTTATTGCACTGGGCACTGGCACTCGTTGCTCTGGGCATTTCGTTTGTTGCAGTGTGTATTTTGCTAGTTGCACCAGACGTTTCATGTATTGCACTGTGCACTGCACTCGTTGCTCTGGGCATTTCATTTATTGCAGTGTGTATTTTGCTAGTTGCACCAGATGTTTCATGTATTGCACTGTGCACTGCACTTACTGCACAAGGAGTTTAATTTATTCCGTTCTGCATTGCCCTTATTGCACTGGGCTTATTGCACTGGGCATTTCAATTATTGCACTCTGCATTGTCCTTCCTGACCCAGACATTTAATTTACTGCACTGAGCATTGCACTTACTTCACTGGGCGTTTCATTTATTGCACTGTGTATTTCACTGATTGCACCAGACATTTCATTTATTGCACTGTGTGTTTCAGTGATTGCACCAGACATTTCGTATATTGCACTGTGCATTGCACTTATGGCACCAGGCATTTCATATTTTGCACTGGGCACTGCACTTATTGCACCGGGTGTTTCATTTATTGCACTGGGCACTGGCACTCGTTGCTCTGGGCATTTCGTTTGTTGCAGTGTGTATTTTGCTAGTTGCACCAGACGTTTCACGTATTGCACTGTGCGCTGCACTTACTACCCCGGCCGTTTCATTTGCACTGATTGCACCGAGCGTTTCACCGGTTGCGCTGGGCACCCCCCTCACTGCCCCGCGCACGGTGACGGTGGCCCCGCACCGGTTGGTAACGCAGGGCTGGGGCAGCTGTCGGCGCGGGAGCTGGCGGCGGCGGCGGGGCGAGCGGAGGCGGCGAGCCGGGCGCTGTCGGCGGAGCTGGTGGCCCAGCTGGCGCGGCGAGACGAGCTGGCGTTCGAGAAGGAGGTGAAGACGGCGTTCATCGGGGCGCTGCTGGCGGTGCAGGGGGAGCAGCGGGAGCAGCGGGAGGCTGCCCGTCGCCGCCGTCGCGACAGGGGGCTGAGCCTGCAAGGGGGGCGCCCCGAACGCGGGAACCACATGCCCCGGAAGGTGGGGGGTGCTGTGGGGCAGGAGGACGTGGGACGTGGGACGGGGGGGGATAAGAGATGCGGGGATTGTGGGACCGGGGGGACACGGGGCGAGGAGATCTGGGATGGATGGGGGGGGGGGGGGGGACATGGGATATGGGACAGGGATGTGGGAACATGGGGCAGGGGGATGTGGGGGGGACAGGTTGGGTGATGAGACGACGTGGAACGGGGATGTGGGGACAGGGGGAGGTGGGGATGAGGGGTGGAGACACGTGGGGTGGGAATGTGGGGACGGGGGGACACGGGGCGAGGAGGTCTGGGATGGGGGGGGGGGACATGGGACAGGGATGTGGGAACATGGGGCAGGGGGATGTGGGGGGGACAGGTTGGGTGATGAGACGACGTGGAACGGGGCTGTGGGGACAGGGGGAGGTGGGGATGAGGGGTGGAGACACGTGGGGTGGGAATGTGGGGACGGGGGGACACGGGGCGAGAAGATGGGGGGACGTGGACAAGGCATGGAGGGCAGGAGAGTGGGGGGGTGACGGGTTCAGTGACAGGACAGGGCAGAGAGACGTAGAACAGGGGGACACGGGGGGGGGTTGTGGGGACAGAGGGGCACAGAGCAAGGAGATGTGGGGTGGGGAATGGGATGGAGGGATATGGGGACAGGAGAGGGGATGAGGCAAAGGGACATGGGGACAGGAGAATGGGGGGACGTGGGTGTGGGTGGCTGGGAAACAGGGGGACACGGGGTCAGAGGGAGGGGGGGGGATATGGGAAAGGGGGGATGCAAGTCAGGGAGCCGTTGGTGCCAAGGGAGGTGCTGTGGGTGATGCCCGTGTCCCTGGGAGGTGATGGGGTGACGCGTGTGTCCCCAGCGATTCAGCATGGAGGGCATCTCCAGCATCCTGCACTCGGGCCTGCGCCAGACCTTCGGCACCGCTGCCAACGAGAAGCAGGTGCCCTTTTTCCTCTTTTTCCCTCCAAAATTGCCCGAATCTGTCCCCTTTCACCACCACCTCTGCACACCCCGTTCTCCTGCATCCCCCAAACCCCTTTCAAAATATTTTTTAAGTTTGCAGCCCCGTTCTGTCCCCTACACCCCCCGAATCCATCTTGCAAAAATCATGTTTTTCACCCTAAGAAATCCTCACTAAGCAGGGCTTTGCATTTGGGTGGGTTTTGCAGCATACAGTTAATTCCGTATGCCCCCAAATACCTGCAGATTAAATGCAATCGCAGGAAAATTGGAGACATACTCTACATTTGCATTAATTTGAGTTGATTTGTAGCAAGGCATTGCAAAAAATAGGCAATTTTGTCCCATGTGGGTGTTTTTGGGGGTGGTTTTTTTTTTTTGCAGTACCTGAACACAGTGATTCCCTATGAGAAGAAGGGGTCACCGCCCTCTGTTGAGGACCTGCAGATGCTCACCAACAGTAAGTATTTGTTCAAGCTGTGGTTTTGGGGTAGAGTCGGACATTTTGCATTGCCGCAGAATGGCAGATTTGGAACACAAATGCACATTTTGCATTGCTGCAGCAGCTGCAATTTGGCTGCATCAATGCAATGCAGCCAGTTTGGGGTGCAAAACCCTTTCAAAACCCTTTTTTTTTTTTTTTTTTTGGATTGTTGCAGCAGGGGCAATTTGAGATGCTACCATGTATGTTGCATCGTTGTAATAAAAGCCATTTCAGCGGGGAGAAAGACCCGTTTTGCAGCATGGCAGCACAGCTGGTTTGGGGTGCGATCACGCATTTTGCATCACTGCAGCACAGCTGATTTGCAGCAACCCCTCCCTATTTTTGCATCCTACACCAACACCAATTTGAGGGTAAAAGAGTAAAACACACATTCTGCATTGCCACAGATAGGTTGATTGGAGGTGAAAGTGCTTTTTTTTGGATTTCTTGGGCCTTGTGCATAGGGGGAGACTCTGGCAGTGTCTCTGTAGGGCTGGTTTTGGGTGGAAAAGGGACATTTCGGGGGCAGTGGGGCCAGGCTCACAGTTCCATTCCCCCTCACAGTCCTGTTTGCCATGAAGGAGGGGAACGAGAAGGTGCCCACACTGCTCACGGACTACATCCTCAAAGGTATCTGCTCGCATCATGCATCCCCCGTGCACCCTTGTGCATCCTTCATGCAGCTCCTGGACAGCCCTGGCGCTTCTTTGCATCCACCACGGATCCTTCCCGCACCCCTGTGCATCTCCCTTGCATCTTGTGTGCCTCCATCCTGCCTCTCCATTCATCCTTTACACATCTCTTGTGCATCCAGGTGAACACTAGGTACATCCGTGCATCCCTTAGGCATCCTTCATACATGTCCGTGCATCCTTTCTGCATCCTTGTGCATCTCCCTTGCATCCTTCCTGCACCTCCCGTGCATCCTTCTGCATCTCCCTTCCATCTTGGATGCATCCCTTGCCCGCTCCTCGTGCATTTCCATATATCCCTTGTGCATCTCCTGTGCATCCGTCGTGCATCTTTTGTGCAGGCCTCATGCATCCTCACTCACTTTCATAGGTCACTGTGCATCTTCCATGCACCTCCCTTGCACTGTTACGTGACCCATCTGCTTCCTTCATGTAGCCTTACAAATCCCTTTTACCCCTTGTGTGCCATCGTGCATCCCTCCTATGCATCCCCATTCATCCTTCATGCATCTCCTGGGCACCCCTCCTGCATCCCTCACACAGCTCTTGTCCATCTCATGCAGCCTCCTACATCCTTGTGCATCCCTCGTGCACCCATCGTGCACGCCTCGTGTGTTCCTTGTGCGTCATTTCCATGTTCCTCCTGCATTCTCTCTGCATCCCATTTGCAGCCACTGGGCAGCCTCCTGCAGCATTCACGTATGCTTGTGCATCCTTGTGCACCCACATGCACGCTCACACATCCTTTCTGCATGCTCATGAATCCTCGTGCATACGTGCACACTCACACACCCTTGCACCCCCCCGTGCATCCTTGTGCACAGTCGTGTATCCTCATGCAACCCCCCACACACCTTCGTGCATCGTGCATCCTTGCACACCCATGTATATCCCAGTGTGTGCTTGTGCACTCTTGCACATCCCCAGCGGAAGCCTGTGCATCATTGTGCGCTCTCGTGGATACCCATGCACACTTGTGCATCTCTGTGCACACTCCTGCATCATCATGCATCCTTATGTACCCCTATGCACGCTTGTGCATCCTTGCACACCCTTGTGCATCTTTGTATGTGCTCATGTACCATCACGCAACCTCCTGCATCCCCGTGCGCACTCGTGCATCGTCGTGCACCCATGTGCAACCCCACACATCCCTGGTGCACACCAGTGCACACCCATCACCTCTCTCTTTGCAGTGCTCTGCCCAACCTGATGCAGCGCTGCCCTCGTGCCCCCCCCCCCCCCAACTCGGCACCCCCCTGAAAATGGGGCCAAACCTGAGGAAAAAGGGTTGCCTACGCCCCTCCCCTCTCTCTGCACTCCCTCCACCTTTGCACAGCTGGGAAATAAATAATTCGTTTCATTAAATAAGCAACTGGCCTCCCGTGTCTTCATCCCCACTGCTTGCAACATTGTTTTGAAAATTTTCAATAGAAAAATGCACTTTTGTGGCAGAAAAAAAAGGCAAGGATTTTGCTGTGATGCTAATGAATATTCAGAATTTTATAAAATATGCAGATTTCTGGCTAACGAGCTGCTGAGTGCTCAGCTGGCTGCAGCGCCGCAGGCAGCCGCCACAATTGGAGGAGCAAAATTCAGCTGTAAATTCTATTTTGAGGGGATTTTTCCCATTTTTAGCTTCTCGATAGCCCCATTTTCTGCTAAAAATTGTGCAAAAATCACCTTTCTGTTCCAGATCAACTCATTAATTAGAAGGGAATGGGGGGGAGAGGGGGGGGGCGCTTCCATTTTGGGGAGAATTTTTAGGATTTGTCATTCATTTTGGGGGACAGTCCCTAATTTGGGGGTCATGGTTCATTATCAGAGAGTGTCATCCATGTTGGGGGCAAATTCAGTCATTTAGGGGGAGGTTACTTATTTGGGGGAGATTTACTCATTTTTGGGAGTGTTGCTTGCTTTTGGGGATAGTCACTCATTTTTTGGGCGAATGAGTAGTTTGGGAGAGCATCTTTTTGCAGGGCTGTCATTAATTTTAGGGAGTATTGCTCATTTTAGGGGAGAATTGCTCATTTGGGGGGAAACCTTTTGGAGAGCATCGTGGTTTTGAGACGATCAATCATTTTTGGGGCACTGCTTCAAAAAAATTACCCATTCTGGAGAAGAGACACTAATTTTGGGGACCGTTGCTTGTATTTGGAAAGCATCCCTGATTTGGGGGAATATTGTTCATTTTGAGGAAATACTTTTTTTGGGGAAACACTTCAGTTTTGGGGAGCATAATGTTTTGGGGAAGCATCACTCATTTTGGAAGATCACTCATTTTTGGGGGGGATTTCCCCTCTTGGGTAACGTCATTGTGTTTTGGGGAACATCCCTTATTTTTTAAGAATGTAACTCATTTTGGGGTGAACACTGTGTAACGTTTTGTGGGTATATCACACGTTTTGAGGGAGCATCGTTCATTTGGGGGTAAAATCACATTGGAGCTCATTTTGGTGGAGGGGCATCACTTATTTTTGGAGGAGCATCGCTTTTGGAAGTTTAAATCCTATTTGTGCCACATCACTCAATTGCAGATTTGGGTCAGTTACCCCTTTTGGGGCTGATTTGCCTGTTTGATAGGAGTTTTGCCCATTTTGGGGGGTTATTTACCCATATTAGGGCTTCTCCGCTCACAGGAGGAAGCTGCCAATAAAATACAGCTGCAAAACCTCATCTCGTAGCACTTTATAATAAATGGCCATGAATTAATACTAAATTACAATGAATCCTTTATGAAATTACAGATTACATTCACACCAGATCAGTATCGAAAAATAGGCTTTTCTGCCCATTGCATCACTGTTTGTTTTTTTTTTTTTTTTCCCCCGGCTGCTGGGTTTTTTTTTTGTTGTTTTTTTGTTTTTCCTGAACTCTTCAAGAGTCAAAAAACAATGACAAAACCAGCAAAAAGCTGCAAAAAAAATTAATCCTTCTTACAGAAACCTGCATTTAGAGGAGGAACCTGCAGAAGAAAATTCCTTTATTATTTTTGCCCTGCATCACCCAGGTTTGCTTTTGCAATTCTCCTTGCGCCACATTTTAAGGTGAAATTTGCCCTTTTGCTAGAATTTTAAAAAACCCAAAATGCGTTGTTGTTTTGCGGAACTGCCCTCTCCCGTGGCTCCTTTGGGGTAAAACTCCACCAGTTTCCCACACAGGTGGACAGTATCAGGGAGAAACCATCTTTCCATTAACAATATTGAATTTCCTTCCACCTGGGCAAATCTTGCAGGTCACCATTCAATTTTGGGTGAAGATCTGCATTTTTTTAAACCCTTTTTTTTCTGACTCGGTGCCAAAGCACCTTGGCAAGTCTCACTCCTGGCAGCCTTTGCCCCAACTCTGCGTCTAGTCTCAGCCCTTAAGGATGAGGATGGAGTGATTTTTTTTTCCAGATTCGGCTGGGTTTTAGCACATAAATTAAAGGATTTGAGGGAATTTCCTCCCTTTTCCAGAAAGTTGCATCCAGAGTCACCAAACGGCCACTGCATCGGGGCCAAAACGGGCAATATGGTGGGTCAAGAGCGCCAAACCCTCCTCAGATCCGACCTCAGGCGGAATTTGCAGTCGCCAATTTTTTTTTTTCCCCTGCGTGCCGATATTTATGCCTGTGAATCATCTTTTCTGGGGAAAAAACGAAAAACATCAGTCCTGGGGTTGGTTTGTTGGTTTTTTTTTTTTTTTGCACCAAGAAATCCAAGTGATGGACACAGTAGCCCACAGTGAAAACCTGCTGTTGTCCAACAGCATCCGAGCATCACATGGGGACAGCAGCTTCCCCTAAGAATGCTTTTTCTTACCAAAAATGAAGGGAAGAAGGGAAAAATAAAAATAAAACCTGAAAAAAAAAAAAAAAAACAATCTGGCCACAATATGTGCCTTGTAAACATGTGTCCTTCACTTCCACACACAGACGTGGTGGTCCCCGTGCTCCTGTGGGCAGCCAGGGCACCCGCCAGTGCGTCCAATTTGCTTTTTTGTCACTAATTTTGTTTTTGTCCTTGCCTTTTTTCTTGGCATTTTGGGGGTTATTTTGTTTCCGGTGCTGTCAATGGTTTGGGGAGGGTGCAGGAGGAGTTATTCCAGTGAGTCACTGTGGTCCAAGCCAAGGTCGGTGCCAGGCGCTGCCGGAAGACCACCAGGCTCTTCCTCCAGCTCTTCCTCCTCTTCTTCCTCCTCCTCCATCTCGTCCTCATCCTCCTCATCATCCTCTTCTTCCTCAGTGCCGTCAAGGGAGTCGTCGTGAGCCGCCAGCATGGCCTGCTGCATGGCCATGGTGGCCGTGGCTGACGAGAGGGGTTGCAGGTTGTCCATGCTGAGTGACCCTGAAATTTAAAAAAATTATAGAAATCAGGACTTCTCAGTTAATATAAAGAGGACAAAAAAAAATGCATAAACCAGGAATAACCCAAGTGAAAAGCTGTACCTAGACAGAGCACCCTGCAGGGTGTCCCACCTGTCCCAGGCCCTCCCCAAGGTCCAACCCTTAATTTTTTTAGCTAACATATCTACAGTAGGTAACAAGAAACCTTCATTTTTGAGCAAGCAGGTGCCCAGATGGGTTTGGCAGATCTCTTCATCTTCTCTTAATTTCCACTTTCCCTTCTGTTCATCTGCTCTCATCTAGTCCATTCTCATGTCTGCCCTTGTCACCTTCTCTTCATCTTCTCCTCTTCATCATCTGTTCTCTCTTCACCTTCTCATCTTGTCTCATCTATTCATCTGTTTATCTTCTTTCTTCTCATCTTCATCATCTCTATTCTCTTCATCATCTGTTCTCTCTTCACCTTCTCTTCATCTTCTTTCTTCCCATCTTGTCTCATCTTTTCCTAATCTTTTCATCTTTTTTTCATCTCTTCTCCTCTTCCCATCTCCCCCTCCACTCTATCCCAGGACTGCAGGTGATATCTCAAGTGATGCCCCATAGCGAGTGATCCTTGAGGGCTGTTCCTAAGCCAGGGAGATGGCAGTGTCCCACTGTCAGTGCCCTTGTGATGGCCAACTGGAAGGACCTTCTTGCATGGGCCACCTTGTCAACATGTTTTTCCCCACAGGGGGATAAAGGGGTCTAGAAATCCATAATTAGGCCATAATTTAATGCATGGCCACCCCATCCGGGAAGGGCAAGGGGCTGTCAGGGCTTGTCCTTACCATCAGGATTTGTCCCTGAATTGCCACCCTGCTGCTGCAGGACCCCAGCGGCGATGGAGTTGGGCCAGAACCGCTGAGTGGGCCGGTGCTGAGATTTGATTTTCTTGGCTTTGGGGGCTGGGTCCGGGTTGCTGGCGTCAAGCATTGGTTGCAGGATGCGCCGTCGGGCATTTATGAACCTTGCCAGGTAAAAGAGAAACGATTCGAGTAAATAAGAGTTATTAACATCAATTTTGAGTTAAAACAACAGACATTGTAACAGTTCAATAAGTTACAATATAAAACCCTTTCAAAAGTGGCTGCGTGGTCCAAAAAGCTGGGGGGTTCTACCCTATTTTATTTGTCTGTGGCATTGCATTAATTTTTCCAGCTGAGTTGGAGGTTGCTACATATGGAATTTGCCAGGAGAGGGCACTAGGACACTGCAAATGAAAGCCAACAATTAAACACACAGGCACCCATGTCCCAGAAATAGGCCCTAACCACCCAAGTTACCACCGAAACAGCATTATATAGCGCCAAAATAGCGTGAAAAAATTTCTAAAGCCAGCAACATGACTGCATGGGCCACCGATGCACTCACCAGTTGTTGACTTGCAAGAGGGTCAGGTTGGTTTGGGCAGCAATTTGCCTCTTCTCGTCCTCTGTGGGATAGGGGTGCTAGAAATAAAGAGAGATGTGGCAGCAAAATTACATCCCTGTGTGCAAAACAGCACCCTCAAATGAAAAATAAAAAGAAAACCCCCCATTTTTTTCATTTTCCCATGCCAAATTTGGTGGGCTCCTGCGTTTGCAAGATGCAAGGCTTAACGGTGGCATCCAAGAGCATCCTGGTGTCCTTAGGGCTTTTCCAAGGCTTTCCATCAAATGCTTTTCCTTGAAGGAAAATTGTATTTTCTTCTTTTTTTTTTTAGCGATTTTCTAATAATGGTTGTTGGTAAAGGTGGGATTTGGGCTTCAAAACTCACTGTCACCCACAATGCTCCTTGTCAGATTCATCAATGAAACACCCCAAAACATCTGCACTGGGAGACTACCAGTGCTCAAAGCTTCAACAACCTGCTCCCAACCGTGCTAAAATCCTTTCCAACCCCAGAAATTACATTATCAAACCAGCCCAGTGTCTCATTTTTCAGACCCCCAAGCCAGCACCAGTGTTGATTCACATAACTTGTTTTCCAGCTGTTTGCCCCCAAAATAGTGTGATTTCCTTGACA